GAATGTTGCTCTGCGGTATTTTGGCCCATTCCCGACGAAGCGCTTGCTTGAGGTGATCGACACTTTGGTATTTTTTAGGACCAACCTTGCTTTCCAAAAAACTCCAGACACAATAGTCCAACGGATTGGTATCCGGATATTTTGGTGGCCATTGTGCGCTGGGAATGAAGCGAGGAACCTCATTTTGTAACCATTCTTGGGTGGCGCGTACTAAGTGCGATGGTGCTGAATCCTGTTGGAATGTCTAAGGTTTGCAGCCAAAATGTTTGCATGCACAAGGCTTTAATACACCCTCCAGAATATTTTCGCGATAATATTCGGCATTTATTCTGATGTCACGATCGATTAATACGAAGGGAGAGCGACCATCGGCTGTTATGGCGGTCCACACCATCACCATGGCCGGCACTTGAGTTCTGGCGGCCAACCGAAGGTCCACAATTTCAGCTGACCTCTTTGGCAAGTAAACACGATCATTTTGTTTGTTTACAAACTTCTGGACAACGAATATTTTCCCGTAGGAGAAAACTAAATTCAGCAGTAAGTATGTAAGTTCCTGAAACTTTTTGGAATTTCAATGGCCTTTCGCCGAGCTTATTTATCAATATTTGCCGAATGGAGTATTGCGATATGTTCAGCTCACGAGCCATTTTTTGGTCACTGCGTCGCGGGTTTCGATCATGTCGCTTCTTTATCTTTCGAACCATTTCTGCTGATGTTGCTTTTTTCTTCCGTCCATTTCCTTGACGTCGGCCTACGCAACCAGTATCATGGTAACGAGCGATTGTACGAGACACAAAAGATTTATTCACATTTAAATGCTGGAATGCTCTAACGATAGTCACTTTTGGTTTTTCAGCCAAATATAAAGAAATCACACTATCACGTTTGAATTCCATCACGAATAACTTCTTTTCTGGAAAATTCTCACCAAAATGCTTTTGTACGCTTGCAAACAATATAATGAGTTGTCACTGGAATAATTTTAACAGCTGTCGGACGAGTGGCTTAGAAATTGCAGCTGTCTGAAGTTGGTTGCAGTTTTTTCAGCTCACCTTATAAAAAGTCTTCTTTCCATAATAGACCCCTTACAGGTCAACTATCGATAGAATATTAGTAAGAGTTCTTCTATCAGTTGAAGATCCTTTAAAGATCTTTGTACCGGCAAAAGCTTGTTTGTCTACAAACAACCTATTTTGACTTTTCACTCAAAATTACTTTCAGTAAAAATCCCCTGCGTCAGCACACAAAGCAACATTTCAAAGTTAACAATAAAAAATTAGACTTTTCGAATTAGGCAATATTTAATAGTCATGACTACCACATGGAAACAAAAAGTTGACCGGAATTAAAGAAGTCTTAGAAATTATGTACGTATGCGTTGATTGATTTGTTTTAAACATATTGATGTCATTCCATCTTGTTTGACGTCAGAATCCAATATGAGAAAAATAAAATGCCAACACTGTTTGAAAAATAAAAAACAACAATTTGTTTTAGACTCAAAATATAAAGAAAAATATGTTGTATTGGAAGTTAATTGAAAAAAAAAAACAAAAAGAGAAAATCGAATTCATTAGCATTTGATATGAAAAACTAATGAAGAAGTAGGATTTTAGATGACCTTTCGTCCCTAAAAAAATTTATTTTGCAGTCGTAATTATGCTCAAATTTAAGTTACGTCAGTGTAATGTGGTCTACATAGACAATTGTTATTTTACTGACTATTTTCGGTTCGAATTCTTGATACCCTCCACCAGTTGGAAAATAACTCAGGAAAAATATGTCTGTTATTGCCGAAAATCAAATATTCGAGTAGTATGTCAAGAGAAAAATACAATTCAAAATTCAACAATTCTATAAAAAATGGTAAGCTACATAAATAGAGAGGCCTTTTCCAAATCGAAACACAGAATTTTAAGTAATTTTATTAGAAAATGTGGCTAAAATCGGAGAAATACCCAACATACGTGGACCATTTTCTGCCGAATATGCAAATGTGCCGTTATATGGGGACTATAGGAAAACATGGATCTATATAAACCATATTGTCACAGGAAATAACATCTATACAGTTGCCTCTAGACACTATTGCTAAAATTCTCAAAACTACAATTATTAAGAAGTCCAGTTATATAGGATTTATACGAAAGCATTGACTAATATGGACAAAAATCTGGCACAGTGGGTAGAACTCATTATGAACTCCAAATTTAATGAATAGCCATTTCCATAGAAACTGAGGCTAAAATGATCAAAATACCCTAGGTCTCTTTGGACCGAATCCGTTCCAGGACATTTGGAGTCGATCTAGTTATGTCCTTCCGTCCGTCTGCCTGCCTGGCTGATGCGCACGATAACTCTCGAAAGGAGTATCCGATTTGGTCCAAACTTCGTACATCGTAATATTTTTGTCAAACTTAGATCGAGTTCGGAGATGGGAAATACCGGTCCACTCCGTCTGGTACCTCCCCCTCAAAAGGTCGTATTTTCGAAAAAATATATTTTCTGAATAGAAAGAGAAACGATCATACGATTTTGCTCCAACATTGCAAATTCGTGGTGTGGAATTCGTCAATATCTGTCCACTCCATGCTTCACAAAGTCCTTTGGTAGTTTGATTTATCTGATGGTCATTTGGAAAATATTTTTTTAATCCACGTTGATTTGTATTTTTAAAAATCCTGAATTAATGTTTTACAGGACCTTTGGAAAACATTTTTAAAAAAATTTAAAACTATTGGTCCACAGTTCTTTAGAAATATATTCTTAAAAAACTGTATTCTTGGTTCACAGGACTTTTCCAAAAAATATTCCTAAAAATTCCTTATTAATACTCTAAAAATTTATTTTCAATTCATTGATGTTCAAGAAGTCCTTTAGATAATAACCATTGAAAATCTGGACTTATGAGCCCGAATATCCCTTACAAAATCTTCTTTAAATTCACGATTCAAAATCAAATATGATATTTCTTATATTCTTTAAAGAACCACGATTTTCGGTCTAACAGTACTCCGTATTTTTTAATTCGCGATTTTAGATCTCAATGTCCTTTGGAAAATATTCTTTACAAATATATGGTTAATGTTCGACAGACGTATACCTTCAGCCGATGTTCGATGATTTAAATATATTTTGACTTATGTTATGATTATTCAAATGTTTAACCCCTTATGGAGTAGGTTCCGAAGGATAATAATAATATAATAAATATCATATAAATATTGCGACTTGCCAGGTTTGGACTACATTGGGAACTTCCTTCACTTTACATCTCTGGTTTCCGGTTAAGAGATATAAATTTAGATAAAGCAAGTTGTAAAGTATTGCTGACTTGTTTCGCAAGTCATAACATATAAAAGTATTGAAAATTGTGACCCTTTGTGAGTGAGGTACCAGAAGGTGTTCGCAGATATAGATCATCTTCACAACAGATCTTGTGTTAACAAAAATGTATGTATGTGTGAAATTTGAAGAGAGTTGGATGCTTATTTCGCTTTCTTTGAACGTTTTGTTTTTCAAAATCTTGAACCCTATGTGGGGCATGTAGCAAAAGAAATGGTCCGATCTCTACCATCTTTATATAAGATCTTGTGTTGATGCAAACATTGAGATGTACCATGTCTGGAATGGAATCGGATGTTGATTTTGCTTTTTATGAGCTTCATGGATAGTCAAAATGTTGAGCCTTTTTGGGGGAGGTACCGGAACGAGTGGACCGATATATCACATCTTCACAACTGATCTTTTGTTAGTAGAAATAATGGGACGTGTGAAATAGAAAGAGTAATTGATGGTTATTTCGGATTTTATAAACGTTTTGGTTATTCTTTGACCCTTTGTGGGGGAAGTACCAGAAGGAAAGGTCCGACCTCTACCGTTTTTATAACAGATCTTGATAGAAATATTCAGATGTGCCAAGTCTAAAGGGAATCGGATGTTAATTTCTTGTTTTATGAACTTAACGGATATTCAATTTTTTTTTTAGGGGGGGAGTACCAGAAGGAGTGTACCGATATATTCCATCTTAACACCAGATCTTGGGTTTATAAAAATGTTGGGATGTGTGAAATTTGAAAACAATCGGGCTCTTACATCACATTTATTATAAGAGTTATAATTATTCAAAATGGGGAAGGTACTTGATGGAGTGGACCGATATTGTCCATTTTCGCACCTGTCCTAGCACTGATGCAAATATTAGGATTTGCAAAGTTGAAGCAAAATCGGATTATCGTTTCTCTTTCTGTGCAAAAAAAAAATATATTTCTTGAAAATCTTGACCTTTTGAGGGGGATGTACCAGAAGGAGTGAACTCAATCTAAGTTTGACAAATATTTGGACCAAATCGGATACTCTCAAAATGTCCTGAAACGGATTTGGTTCAAAGAGACCTAGGTTTAAACCGTTATTTCGACTAGGCACGTTTTGGCCGTATCAAATGATAGTCATATGGCTGAGGGTATGAGTAGCTATATGGCTGAGGGTATAATTACGATCGTACTTCTACACCACCTTTGTTGAAATTGCTTTAAAAATCCTCAATTTTTAGTTCTTAGGTCATTTATTTTGAAAAAAATTAAGATTTCTGTGGAACTAAATATTCAATGTTCTGCCACCGGGCTAGAGCACATTACCAATTTTTTACAAAAATATCGGCATTTACAGTTGTATGGGGGCTATACACAAACGTGAACCTATACAGCCATATGGCTGAGGGTATAACTAGCCATATGGCTGAGGGTATAACTACGATTATTCTTCTACACCACCTTTGTTGAAATTGCTTTAAAAATCCCCAATTTTTAGTTCTTCGGTCATTTATTTTGAAAAAAATTCCTGTTTTCTATTTTTTTGGAGAATATGCTTAAAAAATTCTCAAAGAGTATTCGAAAATTCTTTTTAAAATCCGCTATTATTTGGACTGTGACTAAAGGAGCAATGGCGTTGGGCGCCATTTAAATACGTTATAGGCGATTTAATAAAATCTAACTTACTTTTAACTTCTTTTTTCATCGCCCGCTTGTTTTATTGCATCGCTTACCTGAAAGAAAACGGAAAATAAAACAAAATTAGAATTATTATTTATTTCTTGAAAACGTTGTTTGTAAACAAGTCACAGCGTCTACAGATACGATAATCATCCTCCATATATTTGTCTAAGAGTTATTACTCTTCTGTCATATATTCGTATTCCATAAGTTGTAATGTGTCTCCAACAGACATTTAGTGTTTTATACACCATTCATGCAGGTTTTTTTTCCTTTTTTGGTAAGCCCTTTGTTCTCATAAAAGTTTTCCAGTCTATCCCTGTCAAATTATGCGACGCGACATGTTTTTGTTATTATTCACAACAAATGTTACCCAGCAGCAGATCCAGAAGAAAAGAACATTTTTTGAATTTTGATTTTCTCTTCCATTTTGTTTTTCTATCATTGCATATTGATATAAATAATAACAAGGAGAATAAAGTGAGGGATTAGAAAAAAAAAACGCCAAAATACATAAAACATAATGGCACATTTGTTTTGAATAATAAATATTTGTTTTGCATGAAAAAAAAAAACCCAAAATAAATACTCGTATAAAAATATATTTATATTTAACAAAAAGAAAAAACAAAAATGATAATGGAAATCTTTGGAGATAAAACACATCAAATAAAGACGGCTGTATGTAAACATTTTATAAATAATTACAAATTGATAAAAAGCAAGCGTTGTTGTTTGTTTTACAGCATAATTTCCAACAATTATTATGGACCGCATATTTGGATTGCTCTAATGTTTTTGTCATACTTTGATGGCACGTGGCACTTTCCCTCTAACTGGGAGATGATGAAAATCCCCAGCTGTTGAAATTCAAAACAACCAAAAAAAAAAACATACAGGCATGTCACAGAATGTAAAATCGTTCAAGAGTGAAAACGAAAACGGTTTTAGCTTCTCTAAAAAACGGAAAACGCAAAAATTTTGCGTTTTGATATCACTTTCAAAAAGCAGGGTGAAATTGAAATGTTTAGTGATTTTAACGTAAAAAATAAACAGAAGACTCATACATTTAACAGAAAATATTGTATTAACCAAATTTTCTTAGAATGAACATGTTTTTGGAATTTATTTTACAAAAAATTTATTATTTTTCTAATCCATGATGAAAAATAATAAAAAGGACTTGGGAGGAACTGGTGGTGGTGATATCAATCAATATGTTTTCAGTGAACACGAGAACAGTTTAATCAGAATTTGCGGATTGTATAAAAGTGTCGATGGAGTTGGTGGTGCAGTAAGCTTTGCGGATTTTGTAAGTGAATTAGACCTCAGTTGTTCTGAAAAAGAAAACTTTGATTCGTCATCATCTACACATATTCCAAGAACTCGAAAATCAAGTCAATTAGTTTTAAGTGAATCTGAAAACGAAGAGCTTAATTTTTCACCCTCAACTTCAAAGCAGACCTCTTCGATTTTAAATAAAAAAGATAGACCAAGATCATGCATTCCAGCTGCTTTTAAAAATGTTTCTACATTGGCAATTGATCCAAGAACACCAACATTAGAAGAAAACCGTTCGCGAACACCTATTCAAAAACGACTTAGAAATAAAAGCTTATCGTGTTCTCCGCCATCTACACCAATAAGACAAGTGTCGGGCAGCCTAACAAAAGCAAAACCCACGCCTGCAGTAAAAAGACCCCGGGCAAGAACTCCCTCAAAGCAAGATCTAAATGCGCTTTTAGTTGAGGAAAATTCTCATTTACAAAACTTGGAAAAAATTTGTAAAATTCTAGAAGATAACAGTAAGGAAATGAAAAAACAAACTGAAAAGTTGGACAGACTTTGTAACATCCTGGAAAAAAAGTATGTGGAAGAGCAGTTACATAATATTGAAATGCAAAAGAGAATGCGTGAACGGAACGAAATGAAACTCAAAATAGTTGAACTTGAAACTCTTAAATATGCTGTAGAACAGGAAAAAGCAAATACGACTCGTTCTTAACTTTACATTATTTTACACAATGGACTAAAAATGGTGGATCCTTACTCTGCATTTGAGTGAGATAAAGGATCTGATGCGTTCCTCAATGTCCGGGGACGAATTTTTTCAGTAGACCGCTGATTTATTTCTTCATCCATTACAGCAAGTATTGAAGCCCCAGGCATTTTTACTTTTGGTGTTTATATTATAAAAAACAATTTAAACTCCTTTTTTAATTGTCAATAATTTGTTTACGACTTTTTTTTCATGGAGTTACCATATTTTTATTTCAAAAATGTGAAATGATTTTTTTTTCGGATTAGTCAAAACGTACGAGTGCTGAAGAAGCAAAATCAAATCGTAACGATTTGGAAAAGGTGAAATAAATCGATTTCGTAAAACTTCTGTGACATGCCTGATAAAAACAGAAATTATTCCTGGGCACACATGTCTTATGTCACCTCTTAAATGGAGTTGGAACCATTTGCCATTGGCAACCGGCAGCCATCCAGCCAGCCAGCCTTTTTTATATTCAACAACATATTCTATAGCATTAATGCCCATTGTGCTTGAGGATTACTGCGTCGTTAATACTGGTTGTAAGCGTATAATAAATGGTGTGATTCTTAAAGGAATTTCGATGAGATTGAGAGGCAAACAACATTAGGAGAAAAAAAAAACCCAAAAAGGACAAATCCTTTCAACGATTTTACTTGGGTGAGAAAAACAACAGCATCAAAACAAAGCAATAATTTGTATTTCATGGAAAATGCTGTGTTAAGTGCGTAATTTCATAAGAGTCTTATGGAAGACAACCATTTAAAAACACAGGCAGACTGGAAGAAAAATTCTTACACATGTTCATGAAAATAATATCGATTTTAATTAGCCAAGACAACATTAAGTGGAAAAAAGGAAAAAAAACATTAAGTTCGTCCGAGCCGAACGTTTAATACCCTCCACCTTAGGGTAAAGGAAACATATCTGAATTTTTTTTAAACTTCATATACCAATAAGACTGTTTGCATAATGCAGTTAAATTTATCAAAAAAAAAAAAAAAAAAAAAAAAAAAAAAAAAAAAAAAAAAAAAAAAAAAAAAAAAAAAAAAAAAACAATAAGTTCGGCCGGGCCGAACTTTTAATACCCTCCACCATTTGCAACGAATTTGGAAATTTTCAAAAAATAAAATCCTTCAAAAATTCTGTTAAAATTTTAAAAATACAGAATATAGCCGTTATTTTGGGGTCTATGCGACGTGGACATACATAGGCATTGTTTGTCATAAGCCATCACCAAATTCAAATTCGAAACTTGAAATAAACGGTGAATAATGTAGCTAAAATCATCAAAATATCGTATATAAGGAGGTGCCGTTAAATTGGAGCTGTGCGAAAACCTGGACCAGCATAGACAATTTTCTGTCACAGGCTGTAGCATCCATTACGAACTTCAAATACCACATCTCAAACAATTTCGGTGGGTATTGCACCTAAAATCGTCAAAATACCGAATATAGGGAGGTACTTAAATATAGGGACTATGCGAAGACCTGGACCTGCAAACCATTTTCTGTCACAGACTGTACTTCCCATTACGAACTCTAAATACGTAATTTGAAACAATTCCGGTGAATAATGACGCTAAAATAATCAAAATACCGAATATTGGGAGGTACCGTTATATGGGTGCTATACGAAGACGTGGACCTGCCCAGACAATTTTCTGCCCTAGGGTGCAGTATCCATTTTGAATTTCAAGTACCAAATTTGAAACAATTCCCGTGAATAATGTCGTAAAAATCATCAAAATACCGAATATCGGGAGGTACTGTTATATGGGGGCTATACGAAGACGTGGACCTGCACAGACAATTTTCTGTCTTAGGGTGAAGTATCCATTTGGAACTTCAAATACTAAATTTTAAATTACTTCCGGGAAATAGGTCGCTAAAATCATCAAAATACCGAATATCGGGAGGTACCGTTATATGGGGGCTATACGAAGACATGGACTTACACAGACAATTTTCTATCTTAGGGTGAAGTATCCATTTGGAACTTCAAATACCAAATTTGAAACAATTACGGTGAATAGTGTCGCTAAAATCATCAAAATACCGAATATAGGGAGGTACCGTTATATGGGGCCTATATGAAAACGTGGACCTACATGGCCCATTTACGAACTTAACCTGCCTACTGTAAAAATAAACATGTGTGCAAAATTTTAGCCATCTATCTCAATTGATTCGAAAGATAGCGTGATTACAACAGGCAGACAGACGGACAGGCAGACGGACATCGCTAATTCGACTTAGAATTTTACGCTGATCAAGAATATATATACTTTGTTGGGTCTGACATGAGTATTTCGAGGAGTTACAAACGGAATGACAAAGTTAATATACCCTCCATAGTATGGTGGAGGGTATAAAAAACCTAAAGTGAGTGAGGCCGTTATATGTGGCCATACCAAAACGAGGTTCCCGGACAATTTTATACTTCAAGGATTGCCATCTATAAAATCTTCTAAAATACCAAATTTGAAACAAATATGTGGGTAAATGTGACAAGGATTATAAAAATACGGAATATCGGTGGGTATCGTTACATGTGGGCCATAGAAAAACGTGGAACTAAATATTCAATGTTCTGCCACCGCGCTAGAACCCATTATAAACTGCAAATACTAATTTTTATCAAAACTTCGAATATCGGCAGGTACCGCCGATGGGAGTGAAACGCCGAATGCGTCGAGCAGTGGACCTGTGGCAACAATATGCCTCTCTATGCACAACGATATGTGCTTTCACACGATATTGCGGGTATTGTCTGCCCGAATGACAGCGAAATACTACATGATGTCTAAAGGAGGCGACAGAACAAGTGACAAATAATTACTCGTTAAAATGTCTAAGGCGATAGCACAAGGTTGCAATAAACCGTAGCGCATACATTTTAACGAATAATTAAGGACCAAACCAGGGGTCAATAAAAAGCAATATTTAATTCAATTATAAATTAAACAGGGGCTACCCCCCCAAGCGTGTACCTATACATACAATGTTT